CATTTCCCTTGTCCGATGCTCCCGCAAACAGATGATGGGCGTCATTCAAGAATGCTCCGCAGTATAGCTGGTCCTGGTGTGAATTTCGGCAGTCCAGTAATAATACTTATTCAGTGGTAAGTCGTCAACTTCCGTGTTTGCACTTCCAACTGAGCAGGTTAGAGTGACAGTTTTCAACGGCGGTCGGCGTTTGCTGTCAAGTAATCTTAATAGGTTACTTTGTGTGTTTGGTAGTTCAGGCGATACTGATGTTCTTGTTTTAAGGCTAATAAACGTGCTTTTTACGTTCGGATTCCGAAGACTTCGAGCATACGCTAAGATGAAGGTTTTGCTTAGTTGTGGACTTACTGCGGTCGGCTCGGCAGATTTAATACGTCGCTGTGGCGGAGGCCATCTTGAAGGTCCAGCTGAATATGCGAGCACTTGTAGTCAGAGTCTATTGTATTACCACATGCCAGAGTTTTCTTATCTATATGCGAGGTTGACATGATAGCAACCAGGAATCCATGGCTCGCTTAAAATAATTCTTAGTCGCATTGAATCTGAACATTGCTGCAAACAGGTTGATGTAGACNTACAACGTTCTCAGGGGAGTACGACTTTATATGTCCTTGAGTCGCGACCGCATGTCTCACGGTGTAAGCTTCCTCATTCCTTACTCGCTGAGACTACCTCGACGTGGTGTTGTGGTCCGTGATACAACGGGATACACAAGATGGCTGAGTGCAAAATCCAACCGGGGCAGAGGTCGAAGTGTAGTTCCCTAGTTTTCCGGATTGAGGGTTCTACTGACTGTTGGCGACAGTTGATTAAAGTACTACGGGAGTTGTTGATATAGGTCAATGTACCTCTTCTCGTTACTTGCTTTGTGGGTAGGTTCCTGTCAAAACCAGAGGATTTGCTTGAGAATAATGGTCGTTCTGCTGCTGATTGATTCTCAAACGATTATACTGCATTTGTCGTTGCACAGTACAATGCGGATCGCGCCTCGAGCAAGGTGAGTAGAGACAAATGAGCCACTACTTGGTAATTTTAGCCGTTGGCTCCTATACTTGGTTCATTCGAACTTTATCATTCCATCGGGCAATTTGTTTGCCTTTCACCGAGCCTCGTAGTCAGTGTTGTAAGTACTTTACTACTTAATAATTCACGTACTCTGAAGCCTCAATTTGTGGGCCAATTGATAGTTCTGTTGAAGTTTGTCTGACGCGTACAATGAACTCTGGAAACTGATGTCTGTCGTGAATCGGAAGCACGAATTCAGGCTTCCAGCACTATCAGCCGTCTGCACGCACCCGGTCCGTCTCCGAGGTACTGTGCATATAAGGAATTTCTATTAAGCGGTTAAGCTAAGGTCTTCCTTGAGTCGGATATCCGTCAATATTTTCCGCGCAATGGGGCTCCAGGGCTCAGTTGCGGTGCGGAAAGTTAAAACAAAAGGCGTCTACTGATTGTATCGGTATCTTCTGCCGTCCGAAATAACTAAACGACGAAGTTTACGACAATCTCTCCGGGTTCATTGGACTGGGCCGCTACTCTGATGGTCACATCCACCATCGCTCAACGATCACAGTGTACCTTGGCCTGAAAGGAGCGTTCGACTCAATTGACAACGGTGCACTGATGGTCTGTCTTCGAAAAGGGATGCCCCAGAAGCACGTTAACTTACTTGGATCACTGCTCACATGCCTGTGGTCGCGAAGTGGGTTAACAACGAACCGTTCGCCATCAGCAGCGGCGTTTGTCAGGGGTGCCCTCTATCACCGTTCCTGTTCAAATTCGCCGTAGACATACTGGAGAACGCACCAAGTCGTCTCCAAAATATAGGTATCAAATGCTGATGGATCAAACATGGAAAGTCCCTACCTGCCAGGATCAACATAGGGACAGGTGATGTCTGCAATGACAGCGTGAGAAAAGCCTTGAAATGGTTCGTGGGAACTGGTGGGCCATAGCGGCTAGTGAAATGGAGTAGCTTTTGCATCAGGGAGTATTCAAACTGTTTTATCTAAGTCGTAGCATCGGAGTCCGTCGCACACTGGTCAGTGAAACCATTTGGGATAAAAGTGGACAGAGTATCCACAATGAAGAACACCGACCAGACCGCTGGACAGTGTCAATGATCAGTTCAGTTGGCCCATTTGGAAAACCTTCCTCATCTTTTCATTTCTTCTTCTCACTCCCTAATCTTGGGAGATACATTCCGTTTACGCCACTCATGGGTTATCACTCAGCGTTCACCTGTTAGGGTCAAGCGCTTACCAGATTTTCGGAACCAAAATCTCTTCACCTGGCGTCATTTAATGTCCGCTCACTATTGGCCTGACACTTGAACGCTTACTCCGGCGATTGCAATGGAAACTCAATGGGTGGTAACATGTGAGTCTCCAACGGAATTGGGAGTGCGAAGCTGCATTCAATCGCTAAAGCAGGAAAAGACAGGGACCGGATGGGCTTTTCCCATTTTTTTTAAGTTGGGGTGTGTGACTCATCGACTCCATTACCAGTTTACCAGACAGTATTTGGTCTGAAGATCGTATCCCTTTATCCTGAGCTGAATCGTTCCGAACTACGAGAAAAGATCTCGCAACGGCTACGCAAACCACCGATGAATAAGTCTAGTTTCAGGCATTACAAAACGGTAACTTCTGTGATACTTTGCCACCTGACACCCTTAAAGGAGATCAATATTCACGTTCAAAAATCAGGATTCAGGTTGCGTTCGCATGGACTCAGTCTTCACCCTGCATCAAAATCTCGAATTACGCCACACGCATCGACCAACAATCGCAGTATTCCTTGACCTAAGAGGAGCCTTCGATTGATTTAAAAGTAATTATCTAATCAGTTCACTGCTTCACGAAGGAATGTCGCAGAGGTATGTGAACCTAATGCAATCACTGTATTCGCATACTTCGGGTAGCCTAAAGGTCTACGGTGGACTCAGTCAATCGTTGGAAACCGGGGCCGGTGTTCGTCAAGGGTGCCCTATTTCACCATTCCTCTTGAGGCTCGTCATAGACGAGAACGCACTAAGTGAGCACGAACACCACTTTTTGCCCGAGTTCGCCCCGGAAAATGGTGTCCATCAGGGTTGCCCTCTGTCTCCTTTTTCTATTTAACTTATGGATTCCATTCGGGACAAAAAACCTGTCCACGTGCGAGGATAATGGCATCCAGTTTCCAGGTGGCAAACTGTCTGATATGGAGTTTACAGATGACCTCGTCATGCTAGGTGGGATCCGGATAAGTTCCAAACTTTTCTAAATTGTTTGAGTTCTTGCGTGGCTATGCTCGCCTTGCACCTTCAAAGTGTAAAATGTTAATAGGATTGAGTTGGTCCAGCTGCCAAGATCGTTCTGACAGGGGAAGTAGTGGAAGAAATGAAAGAATTTCGCTATTTCAGCAGCTATATCTCACCCGGTGGACGCATACGAAAGGCTTGATTAACGTAGACCGATTGGGAGCATCATTGACGCCGCCACAACATCCGACAGTCCGTGAAGCGGTGAGTGCATGCTGCGACGGTTCGACCAGTTATGCGCAGATACTTAGTTATTAAGAAAGCAGGGTATAGGTACACTTACGATGTTCGAACATCGCTATCCGCATCGTCTCACGAACCTGGTGAGGCAACCGGACGAGCAATGATGAGGATAGTTACAGAGTTTTAGGAAACCGCAGTCACCCAATGGAACAAGTAGATTACGTTGGTTGGGGTGTGTTACGAACTCCCGCAAGTGGGTTACCACGACGCGCGATGTTTGCCGAGGCAGGCAATGGGTAGAAGAAAACCAAGGGTCGTCGACCTGGCACAAGGGTATGAAAACCCTAATCAGGAAACTCGGTCATATAGGTCGCGTTAGGCCCCCTGGGTGGGAAACTCGAGATCGTGGTTAGAGACAGTGAGTGATGTGGTTGTGTCGTGAACAATGGAGTTAGTACATATTCTCGATTTCTTTTCCAGGCGAAACTTCGCCTTCGGCTGACTACTTGTGACTACTTGACTACTACAAGTCGCATCAATGTAGGCCCATTAGAGTGTTGCTTCCACTGGAGAACAGCGAGGAAT